GCGGGCCGAATGAGCCAAGCAGGGCCCGCACCCATGCCCCATCAGATGGAACCACCGCCAGGGATGATGGGACAAGGGACTTATGTCAGTGGACCGCCGCCAGGAATCGACCCTACCTGGGGACCGGGCTTATTCGCGGATGGTACGCCAGTGGGTCCCTATGCGGTATCACCAGGACAGCCAGCTATGCCGAGCAATGTGGCAGTAACCACTCCTACAGCCACGGCAAGGGATCGAGCTTCGGGTCAAGCAAGGACACCCGTCAAGCAACGGACAGCTCCTCCAGCCCCAGTTCATGCAGGAGCAACAATGGAGCAGAAGCTGGCTATGAAACGAGCAATGGCGACCTCCGTGCTGAACACGACCATCAAGATGGAGGCGTCTCTGGCGGAGTCGAGCGCGGGTTTGCCTCCCGCGGCAGAGTCGCGGCCGGACGAAGGAGCAGTCATGGCTACGCCGATGCGACCTACGGCCATGGATACGCCCCCGGCGACAGGCCACCTTCTTCGCGGTGGCACAGCTCAGATCATAGAGGACGACGACGAGGACGAAGACGAAGAAGAGGACCTAGACATCGCAGAGGAGTAGCGACTGATCAGCCTTGGCATTTGCGTCAGGGCCGATGTCCCCAACCTTGGTCCCTTGATGGCCCGGACCGTGGCGGTAGTCAGCTGCAAATGGGGCCGCAGCTTGACTTCTGCACGAGCCAGTTGCCATTCGGGATGACCTCCGTCGGTGGACTAGGTCCTTACACAAGTGCCAGTACGGCTCGAGTGAGCCTCCGGGCATGTGACATAGTGACGGGTATCACTGTCAGACATGTACAAAGCAGGGTAGACTGTTTTCGCCAGCGACAGCGGTCAATGACAGGGCAGCCATGGGTTATGCTGTCCCTTCACAACCCCGTTCCACGGCCCTATCTAGTTTTTGCCAGAGGGACACCTAAATGGTCACCGCGCAGTGCACATGAAGGCCATGTCGGCCGTTTGCACAGCATCCTAGCGCCAGGGTTTAAGGCAGCTTGGGTTTTGGGGGACGCGGAATTGGGCGAGAGCAATTGCGCCTTCTGTATTGGCAGCATCTCTTTGCCGCACATTACCGGTATACACGATTCAGAGCCCTCGATGATACAGCAGGCGGAGAGATCCCAGACAAGTCCTTTCTTGTCAAGCATTGCAGGCCTGCTTCTTGTTCACGTCTGCATCTGTGTTTGGCATTATGCGGCCCGCTGTATGCAGTCGTCCTTGGCCACCTGTGGGGACTTCCTTCGGAGGTTAAGTTATAGGCTAGGCACTGGTAACCTTGGGGTTGCTACCAGTGTCCGCCAGGAAGGAGAGCCGATCAAAATTATGGCCTTCCTCGGCGCTTTGCTTGCCTTCAGCGTTCTTCTGCATCAATGCTGCCACCTGCAAACACAAACAGCTGCTGTTCATGTTACCATGCAAGCCGTGGTGACGAGTGTCCTTCTGAGGCTCCTGCTATGCCAACTAGGCTTTGCAAAATCTCCTTTAGGACGCCTCTGCCTGTTGCCAATCAGCGGGCCAGCTTCAGAAATACTCCTCCCAATAGGCCAAATGGCTTCCTTGAGACATAATTGCCACGACCGAGGCTGGGTCGTGTGGAGACAGGAGCCGCCTAAGGCAAAGCCAACTGATACGAGAAACGTCTGTCTTTCCGGGTCAATGTGGAAATGGCTATGCAGGTTGATGCTCTTCTCGCTAAGGCTGCCGCTCCAACCAACCCCCTTCCTTTTGACAGCGGTTTGGGTAGTTACGCCTTTTGAGGTGCAGGCAGCAGGTGGGGATGCCAGCTTTCCAGGAGATCCACCACTCGGTGCATCAAACCACCCTACGGATCCGGAAGACTTTCCCCCGGCCGTGCTCAGGCAAGTTGCTGTTGCCAGTGCTTTTGAGACGGCGGATTCAGATACCGAGACACCATGCACAGTGTCACTCCATGATTTGGCCTGGCCGACACGTTTCTCTTCCACTGGTCATAACCAGTTCCGAATAGAAGAACCTAGAATATGGAGACTGCCACAAGAGGGGTCAAGAGATGCACCACGGGGACGACACCTGGGTGTAATTCTCATGGCACCACATTGCCAGACTACCCACTGGGGCATTGATGTGCTGCCCACAGAAACGATGGACGATGTCATGGCGAAGCTTCTTGATCTCAAGCATTCAGCCTACCATTCGTATTTCAACGCGATTGTACCCCTACAGCCCCAGCGTCACCAGGGCTACCTGATGTTTCTTACGTACCCCAGCGTGTTGCCCTATCTGACAGGTGAGGGCATGGTGCCCATTGTACTAGACCTGAGTCGAGTCGGTGGACATTTTTACGCCACAGCGATGCCACAGGGCATCCAATGGGAGACCTTACAATCTTTCGTGATGCCTCAGATACAGGCAGGCAGTGAGGATTTCGAGCTCTATGTTGGCCTAAGCCGCATGCCCAGCCCATCGCATGGAGCTGTTTACCTATCTCCCGGGGATGTGATTACCGCGCTCAGGCCGGGCATGCGTCCCGGTCCGGCCCATACTGCTCAAGACATTTTTGCTAGCCCGGATACATGGGACTCCATTGCTCATGTTCCCAGAAATATGACCACGCCCGGCTACTGTATTCTGCATGAAAGGAATCGGTTCGTCTTGGACCAAGCCTATCGTCCGTATGACACAGTGGAGCAGGCAGTATGTAGGTTGCTAGGTTTTCGGACGGAGGACGTTACTCTGGTCGCGGTCCCGGGTTTTCGTGACCTTGAGGTGCAAGGGGAGGCTTGTCAGGGCCTTATCATGGCTGCATCATTGCCCAACCCTCATTATCACGGAGACATGCAAGCACAGCGCCGAGATGTCTTTGTTGCCTGCGACATGCGCCCAATGGGTTTTAGGCCGATTTTGTGCTATGGCAATGCTCTCGCGGTACATGTGCCAAGCATTTTTGCCCAGGCCGGCATAGACCTGCCACCAGAGTACGAGGTTACAGTCGCAGGAGGGGACCTGGTTTGGCCAGACGTTCAGGTAACAGGCAGCACTGTGCTAGTCTTCAGGGCGGTGGCAATCCCAGGCCTTTTCTCTGATGATGATGGTGACGACGGCGACGATGGTGGAGGCCCTGCAGATGATGAAAGTACCGAGGTGCCGCCCACCGATGCCTCTCTTTGTACTGACGATGTGGGTGGTGAGACTGATGTGGATACGCGAGCCACACGTGCCACCCAGGCACGTAGCAGATCACCACCACACCGTCATAGCTCTCCAAGGGCCTGCATGCTGGCACTGAACAGCTTACATGCCCAGACTGATGCTCGACGCCAGTGTAAGATCTTCGCCAAGCTTCCAAGGATAGGGTACGATAGAACTAACAGGTTCTATGTTTGGATACCAGTGCATGTAGACACTGCACCTCCCCGAGTTGATGAGGCGCCTGAACCACCTGCACCAGGCCCTCAACTCCCAGATCCACAGGAAGCGGTTGCTAGACACCATGTGCACGCAATGTTCCTGGTCTACACACCTGAATATACTGTGGATGTTGTGCTGATCTACTTGCCTATTCCCTCCACGGTGGCATACGCAATAGCGGAGATTGAGGACACACGTTTTAGGCATAGACGCCGACGATTTTCACGGGTCGTTGCAGCAAGGCCGCAGCCTGTAATCGAATATGTTGCTTTACTAGCCCTGCCGGAGTGGGAGGATGCTCAAGTGACAGTTCTGGTTGATGACAGATATCAGCGAGGCACTTTGTATGCAGCCCGATCCCCAGCCACCACAGACAGGGGAAATCTTTTGGTACAGCTCGGTTACAGTGCGACTGATCCAGTTGAAGTAGGCGTCGGCCCTGGGTTGCGCAGGCTGCTGCACCATGAACCACTTCGTTTGTCAGATGGAGATAGTGTTCGGATCACTGGGTCACAGCAGGCGCCAGGTACAGCCATTCTGTTAGCTGACAGGCTTCGCAGTAGCGAGGGCTGGAATGCTGACACCAGAGTGCCTGAAGCTGCACAGCCCACCTTCTGGCTCCTCACGGATGCCGCGCCAAGACCCTTTCAGGTCGAGCTCGGTCACAGTGGTTACACCACCACCACACTGCGACAGGAAGTTTCCCGGGACCTGGGCTGCCAACCCATAGAGCTCACCATGCGGGCAGGTCGGCCACGGATACAAGATTGCGCTCAGAGAGGTAATGCCTGCAATGGCGTAGCAATCGCCACAACTAGCATTCCGCGCCCACAGCCGCTGCCCAAAGCTCTGTGGATAGTTGTTTTCGACCTCCGCCCCATCCTTCAAGGGTTTGTGTGGCAGAGTTTCCCTACTTCTCGCTTGAATAGGCAAGAGATAGCCGATAGATATGGCCGGGGGTGCCCTGAAGGATATATCACGGTTGTGAGTGGGGGAACAGGTAGGGACTCATACGATGAGGCAATTGTCATTGCTGAGGATGGCCAGATCCTCACTGTAGACTATGTGCCGGCAGGAGGCTACAGCTCCAGCAGTGAGACGGAAACCACGGACAACAGCGACGTAGTAGGGTCCAGTGGGAGCAGGACGGCTCCTACCCATGCTCCAGCTCCCTCACGCTCAGTGGAACGTAGCCGTTCACCACAGCAGCGACCGCCCTCAGGCAGCACAGGCACCAGGCAAGTACGCTGCAGGCGCCCTCGGGATGGTAGCACATGCTTGCGCAGCAACCGTCTCGTTAAGGTTTTTAGGCAATTTCAGGCTTACATGGGTCGAGATGTCATGTGGAAGAGCCTCCACTCTTTTAATCCGCACGCATTAGGCGTAGGCACGGACACCCCTGTCCTCCCCACTGTAAGCCCTGTTTGCAACACCGCGCCATACAAGTCCGGCAGCGCTAAGGTAGACCGTCTCTGCCCCAGGGCCTGCAAAGTGCCAGAAGTCATACCAGATGAGAGGATCTTTTCTAATCCCAGGTTTCGAGATGCACGGTTAAGGGCGCTGCTGGATACCCCTCCAGGGGAACGCATGCCGCGAGGCATCTTTGTTCCGGCACAGGATTTGTGGCGCGAGCCTGGGCAGGAGATAGATAACCCACCAGAACGTATGGTCCAGCCGGTTTTTCTTATTATGGCACAAGACTATCTGTCCGAACTTGTCGCAATTAGTCTGTGGACACCCGTTGAAGTACAGCAAGCACTAGCGGAGGTGCAGCACAGACGCACCTATCACAGCCGTAGACGCATGCCTACCCTTGTGCCTGTCCACCCACAGCCTGTACACGAATATGCCCTGGTCCTGGCGTTGCCGGAGTGGGCAACGGACAGGGTGTGCGTTGCCTTTGACTTGTCAAGGCTAGACGGCAGAGTTTTTGCCAAGTTCACCTCCCCACGGCTAGACTATGCGTCCATCCTGGTCCTAGCTGGCCTTTTTGTTCAGGCGGACGTGGTTATTTATGTCCACGAGCACCCTCTTCCGTTACAGCCAGGGCAGGTTGTGGATTTGGCCACAGGTTTTTGCATCACCATCACGTGCCGTACCCAGCTACATTTTGCGGTTTTCGATCTGCGAGACATGCTGCAGAGTCCGGAAGGTTGGAATGCACAAGCAGTTGTCCCTACCACCGAAGGAAGTTGGCTTTACATACTTGGGGATGAAGATGCCTGCCATTTTAGGCTGTACCCAGAGAGGCGCGACAACCTACGAGGAGACCTGTCGGAACGCCTCGGGTACGACTTACGACTCCTGCAAGTCAAGCCTCCAGTGCAACAGATAGTCGATCACTACGAAGACGGGGTCCATGCCTCGCAGGTAGCTGTGGTCACTCAGCAAAGGATCCGACGTGAGGCAGGGGTGCCCTTCCGCAATGTTATGCTGCTTGATCTGCGCCCGCTGCTTCTTGGGCTGACGTGGCAGTTCGCACCCTTCGGACAAATCCTTGCCCAATACCTCTATGATCGCTACAGTGAGATATGTCCCGCCGGGTACCGTGTTAGTGTGATAGGCAGGCCTTTTCATACTGACGACGGGCTGTTTTTCACAGTGGATGATGGTGAAGTGATTGTTGTCGAGTTCGTGCTTAATGAGGTTGAACAAGCCTCTGACTTAAGCTCAGACACAGACTCTACGGCACAGACGTCCTCGTCCACCAGCTCTGAGGAGGGAGGTACGGATCACCAGGACGGACACGGTCCTGCCATTGCACCTCAGACCATAGCCGAGGCCAGATCCACAGGGCCTGATAATAGTGATGAGCAGCCCCCGCAGACGGGAGATTACGGGGGCCAGAGCCACCAGGTCTTTTGTGCGCCTCGCTCGGCGGAAAGTGTCCCGCAAACACGTAGCCATGTGGACGCCGAGGAAAGAGGTGCCAAAATTGCTCGTGCCAAGCCTACCATAGGGCCCTTAGGAGGAGGTCTCCCTGGTAGAATAGTTCGAGCTCTGGTTTGGATCACGTGCTGTCCGATTTCGACTGCTAGCCCTAGCATACCAGAAGGCCTCAGTGGTTCACACCAACTAAGCGCCCGACACACCCGCACAGTTGACGGCCAAGTCCAGGTGACGAGGTGTCATGCGCCTGACGCCATTACAGTGCGGAAGTCCACGGCTATAGCGGTGCAACCCCAGAGCAGGAGTAGGCCGCTGCCAACACCATGCAGGACTAGTCACAAACAGCAATGGCTCGAGCCTGGTGCCACACTACTCGAGCAGTCTGTCCGGGCCAAAGCAGGACTACAATACTGGGAGGCGTCTACGCTCCTAGAAACATTGAGTGAGCATTTTGCGGCCAAGAAGCATGAAGAGGACCAGCCTCGACATCTCTGCATGCAGCTTGAACTAGACAGCCTTTTGCCACGTACGCCCTATCAGGGGATGGTCGAGTCACTCAGCTTATTAGTGCCACGGCCCTTCCCCGACCCCACTCCAGCCAAAGCCCTACTGACGGAGGACTGGCTCGATAATGATCTGCGACCTCTGCTCCAAGCAGGTTTCTTGGATGCTCAGTGGCGCGATGTATTTAGTGCCCTTCCACGATGGCATACAAGTGCTAGGCCAGCTGATGCCACACAGATAGTAATCTATACTGATGGGTCCGCCGATGGAGGCCGTCGGGATAGTTTGCCAGATGGCTTGCCGGCAGCATGGGCTTTCGCAGTTTGGGCGGCAGGACCCGATGGGGAGACATTTATTGGTTACAGTTCACACGCTGCGGTCCATTCTGACTCCGCCTTTCATGTGGGCGAATGCGCTGATACACCGATGGAAAGCGAGCTTTTGGCCATCTGCTGGGCTATGGTGTGGATCCTGGATGCAGGATTACGTTTTGGGTTGCCTTTCGAACTAAGATATGACTGCACAGGAGCTGGCGGTAGCACATTTGCGACCTCCAGTCGGGTTAACCTACAGTCTGTTGACGGTTATCCTACGCTCGCAGATTTCGCCAGCCTGCTCAGGCAGGTCGTGGAGACCAGACAGACAATACATCACACTCATGTCAAAGGACATGCAGGAGTGATAGGTAATGAGCTCTGCGATGCGTTATCAAAGCAGGCTCGCAAGGGCAGAGAAGACCCGCACGAGCGTTGCTTGCCAGTGTGGCCAGCAGAGCTTCGCAAACACCCCTGCTATCACTGGTCGTGGTTAGTACACCAGGTTGCACAGGACTTGCCCACACTGTGGGCACTCGAGTCGGAAGCATGTAGACTGCAGACGCTACCAGCCCAAGCACATGCGCCACGACAAGGTGTTCATAACCGCACCGACAGGGCGGTACAGGTAGAGTTTCGGTTTAAGGTTTTCACCTATAACGTGCTCACAATGTTTGACCCGTTGGCCCCCAAGGGCAAGCCTAAACGGCAGCAGAATCTGGGGATGCTAATAGCAGGCAAGCGGGATATCCTGAAGCGACAGCTTGGCGAGGCCCAGGTTTGGTTGGCAGGTTTCCAGGAAACGCGGATTCCCACGACTGGGATCCTTCCGGACTCCGAGTATCTCATGATCAGTGCCGGGGCCACGGAACGGGGGCATGGTGGCTGCGCCTTATGGATTAGCCGCAAGCATCCGTTTGGACATGCTGGTGATCAGGCCCTCTCTGTGCAGGATGATCAGGTCACGGTGACTTCCAGCTCACCTCGGCATTTGCAAGTCATCATAGAGACACCCAAACTTATGTTGGTCGTCCTTGTTGTGCATGCCCCCAGGGTGGCATATGCTGGAGAAGCCGCAGTGACGGACTTTTGGCGAGATAGAGCGGCTGATATAGCTAAGAGTCCAGGACGAGCTGAATTCCTCGTGTTGGCTGACGCCAATGCGCATGTAGGGTCAGTAACCACAGAAGCAGTAGGGCCTTGGGGGGCAGAAGAAGAAAACATGGAGGGTGTAGCTTTCCATGATTTTCTGCTCAGCGTCAATGGTTACGTGCCCTCTACTTGGGAGGCTCACCATACAGGCCAGCACTGGACCTGGGCGTCTCCCGACCACTTTGCCGCTCATCACCGATTGGATTTTGTGGTCACGCCCAAGCGATGGGAGGATTTCCAACTCCACTCTAGCGTGTGGCATACTTTCGAGGCGCTTCAGACTCGACAGGACCACCTGCCCGTAACTTTAGACATTGGGTTTAGTCGACGATCCCCGGCCACTAGCTACACCAGTGGCAAACGAAAGGTCTGCAGGCCAGGTGCAATTACCGCAGAGCAAGGCAAGGAGCTAGAGGCACGCTTGCGCCACGGATTAGCTATTCCATGGCATTGCGAGGTGGATGACCACAACGAGGCGTGGACAAGTGTTTTCAAGGCCTATGTTCAGCCCTACGTTCCGAAGCCCACCGTCCTCCCCACGCAGCCCTATCTCCAACCAGGGACCCTCGACCTGGTGACACAGCGTAAGGCTCTGCGGAGACATGTAGGGCATGAAGAAGCCGAGAGGTCCCGAAGGCTCAAGGTCATAGGTTTTGCAGCTTGGGTTCTCTACTGCAGAGGTCGCTCCCTTACGGAAGCTACGAGACAGACGGCGTCTCATTGGCTAATTGAAATTGATTATAGCATCGCTTTTGCACTTGAATTGTTGCGGGAGCGCACGCGAGCCATCCGGGCAGCGGTTCGTCGAGATCGCAATGCATACCTAGAAGGTTAGAAGGTCTTAAGCATGCTATCACGCTGCAAGACTTGCGCAACCCCAAAGCACTTTATCAGGCAGTACGTAAGGCTTTTCCCGAAGCAAGATCCTCGCGGAGACAGTCTTTCAGACCACTGCCGGCCATAGCTATGGAGGATGGCAGTCTGGCGACCACCAAGGAGGAGCGAGCCGGCCGCTGGGAACGGTTTTTCGGAGCACAAGAAAGTGCTGTGGCCGTGGACGGTGCAGCTTACACTGCAGCGTTTAGCTGTCCGGACATTCCTGTGTTGCCACATGGCCCAGTTTTTGATGTAGGAGCATTGCCAACATTGCTCGATCTGGAGCAGCAATTACTGTCCGCCAAGTTGAGCAAGGCGGCGGGTCCGGACGGCCTAACCTCCGAGGCTTTACGACTCAGGGTGGCGGCTACGGCAAGGTCGTTTTATCCGTTATGTTTGAAGGCATCGCTAGGCGTCAGAGAACCCGTGGACTGGCGAGGCGGTTGCTTGATGACACTGGCCAAAAAGGCCAACGCGGCCCTGGAATGCGCTTCGTTTCGATCCATCCTACTAGCAAACGCGACAGCTAAGATCCAGCACAGAATGCTGAGAGAGCAGCTGATGCCCTCGTTCGAGACGTACCGACGAGACGTTCAAGCAGGACAGGCGCCAGGTGTAGGTGTGGATTCGATCGGCCTGACGGTCAAAGCCTATCAGGTATGGGCGAGGCAGCGAAGAAGCCCCTCGGCCATTGCATTCTTTGACCTCAAGCAAGCGTTTTATAGAGTCGTCAGACAGACCCTGGTACCTACACCCTCGGGTAGTACAGAGCGGGCTTTCCATGCCCTGCTTTATGACCTTGGGGTACCATGCGAAGCACTGGCGGAGCTGGCGTCCCATCTTGAAGGCATGGCCGTCATTGCGGACGCGAAGGCGTCGCCACACTTGGTGGCGCGCACGGCGGATCTCTTTAGGGGATCCTGGTTCAGGCTTCAAGGGGAAACTGCTTTGCAGCTCACTCGACGAGGAACTAGACCGGGAGACCCGTTGGCCGACTTGTTGTTTGCATATTCCTTTGCGGCCTGTGCCAGGGCTATAGAGACGTCGCTTGATCAAGCTGGAGTGGCCACGCGGCTTCCGAGTCAGGGCGAGGCACCACCCTGGCACACCTGGACGGAGGTCCAACAGGCGGGCTTGCCGGCCTGGGCAGACGACTTTGCCTTCTTACAGTCGCACGCGGCACCCAGAGATCTGGTGTCGGATACCGTTTCGGCGGTAGAGATCATAGCCAACAAGACGACAGCGGCTGGAATGCAGCTAACTTATGCTGAAGATAAGACAGCGCTGTTGCTATCTTCGGACTGCCCGAGGCAGCTGGAAGAACTCATCCAGTTGGATGCACAGGGCAAGCATGGCGTGCAGATTCGGAATGAAATAACACAGCAGGTCCATTGGCTGCCTATTGTCGATGCCTATAGACACCTTGGCAGCATTGTGGTTGCGAATGCTACGCCGGAAACCGAAATCCATTACCGGTATGCACAGGCCCAGACAGTCATCAAGCCCTTGCGCCGGCGCCTCTTCTCGGAGGGCGCCATCCAGCTAGACACGCGCAAAATGCTATTGCGGGCATTAGCATTGTCGAAATTCGTCTTTTCCAGTGCCACGTTGCACCTCGGGGCGACGCTATATCGCCGTACCTGGTCTCGCAGATATGTTGCTTTGTGGCGGACGCTTATACGCCGCACTTCAGCCACTCAGCACATACACAGCTACAAGGTGCTGCTGGAGGCGGGGGCCACCTCTCCCCTACTTGCGCTCGCACATGCTAGGGCCACGTTCTTTCGACGCGTGCTCCAGCACGGACCAGCGTTACTGTTGCATGTCTTACACGCGCAGTGGCGAGCACAGCCTGCCACCTCATGGCTACAGCAATTCGTTCTTGACATTAGAGCGGTTGCGGTGTATGTCGAAGGGGCTCGTGTCATGCTGGACAGTTCGTGTCCGGTCACGGCAGTCTGTGAGGTCCTACAGGACGACCCGTCATGGTGGCCACTGCAAATACAGAAAGCCATCCGAGGTTATGCACACGACCTACAGACATGGGGACGGACCCAAGCAGGAGACTCCGCTGCCGCGCTTGTCCCAGACCAAGGTCAGTTCGCATGCCCGCAGTGCGGGGTGGCCTTCAGACTTCGCAAACATTTGGGGGTGCACATGGCCCGGAGCCACAATTTGGTTTCGCCAGTTAGGCATTACACATGTGGTAATACGTGTGTGGCCTGCATGCGCTGTTTCCACACCGTTAGCCGTGTGCACAACCACCTCAAACATTCCCGGGCCTGCATGGTAAGACTCCTACACGTAATGCCGCCTCTGACAATGCCCGAAATTGCAGATATCGAGGCGGACGATCGGAGTCATAGGCGCAGGGTAGCCGGAGGACGATGGAGTGAGTACAGGGCAGCGCTGCCCCCTCTTCCATCGATGGGGCCCCGAGCCCCAACCTATAGCGAGGCCATTGCAGGCCTTAGCGAAAGTGAGCTTACGCTCCAGCGGATTCAGCAGCTGTACCGTCCAGCGTCCAGAACTGTGTCTTGGATAATGGGGTACTTAGATGGGGCTTCCAAGGAAGGGCCAAGAGTGTCAGCGGCCGATTTCTGGCTTGCTAGGCCGTGTGCCCCAGGACCGCCTGTTGCTGAGCCAGCTGTTTCACCCGTTTGTAAGTATGCAAGTTTTGGGTCGCGCTCGAACGCATGAGCACTTTGGACCGCCAGGAACAGGAACAGGAATACTATTCTGGGGGGCTCCTTAGTATAATCATAGTATAATGGGCCCTAAACCCTAAACCCTAAACCCTAAACCCTAAACCCTAAACCCTAAACCCCCAAAATCCTAAACCCTAAAAACCCTCAAGGCTTGGCCTTTGAAGGTTTTCCCCTATCTCATATATATATATATATATAGATACAAAGCCCTTCTGTCCTCTTCTGGCCCTCCTCGTCGCTCGGGAACCAGTTGGTCAAGCCGTAATCGCCGGCGACCTGCACTTACATCGAAAGCCCTTTAAGGGCTTAGGGTCAAAGGGTTTAGGGCTTAGGGTTAAGGGTTTAGGGTTAAGGGTTTAGGGTCAAAGGGTCTAGGAGCCCGGTTTAAGGTTTAGGGCTTAGGGTTAAGGGTTTAGGGTCAAAGGGTCTAGGAGCACATTTCCTTCTTTAAACAGGTACTTTTCCGGCCCTGGTGCCCAGGATGCTGTAAGTGCTGACCCCATCCTGACCAGCCCAAACTTGATGAGCAGGAAAGTATCAGCCCCCAAGTGCTGTACGATGGCGAGCCCCTAAACCCTAAACCCTAAACCCTAAACCCTAAACCGTAAACCCTAACCCTAAACCCTAAACCCTAAACCCTAAACCCAGGCTCCATAACAGATTGGTTGATGTCGGCTCGGAATCAGGGAGTGTTGGGGGCTCGGGATCGTAAGGGACGGGTTCCGTGTTTCGGCCTACTTCTGGTGTTCCGAGGCATCGAGTTCCCTAAACCCTATACCCTAAACCCTGGGGTCGTTTAGGGTTTAGGGTTTAGGGTTCCATGAACCCTTTCCTGCACCTCGCATCCGCTTGTAATGGCCTTAACAATTAGAACAGCGGTCCTGAAAAGGGTTCTGATAAGGGTCTATACGGGTTTCTTTTGAGGGCTACCATAAGGGTTTAGTATAGGGATCTTTGTAATTAGAACAGGGTTTGGGGGTCTACTATACTAGAACTATCATAAAGAACCACCAAAATAGTATTGGTGATTATTGACGCCCCTATATTAGACACACTACAAACATACAGCTGGCCCAAAAAATCGACGGATTCTGGCGTAGACCCCAAAATGCCCGCAAATCCTAATCGTCCTAATGCCTACATGCTCAACCCAGATGTCCTTGAACCCATAAACCCTAAGCATCTAGAGCCCTATGAGCCCACTAAACACTCATGACTCATAAACACAAAACCCTTTCACCTACTGTTGAAACCCGTATTATTTAGATTCCGTGAACCCCGGACACTCAGCCCTCGACAACCCCAAACCACTTATAACACAAAACAAACCCCAAAAGGCCCTAAACCCTAAAAACCCCAAACCCCAGAAGGCCCTAAACCCCAAAAAAAACAAACCCCAAAAAAACCTAAAACCCTAAAACCCTAAACCCAAGGCCCTGGGCCCTAGACTAAGCGAACCACCCGCCTCCAGCGAGTTCCATTCGAAGACCTTCTTGGCGCAGCAGAACTCCACGATGGAAATCTCAGCATCAAGGGAACTCCACTAAGGGTTTAAGGGCTTAAGGGTTTAAGGGTTTAGGGGTTTAGGGGTTTTGGGCTTAAGGGTTTAAGGGGTTTTTAGGGTTTAGGGTTTAGCGTTTAGGGTAAGTATCAAAAAAGACGTACGGGCAGACGGTTCAGGGCTTAGGAAGACTCATTGATTGGGGTCTTACGTAGTGTTTCGGGCTCCGAGAGGTTGATGGCGCAGGGTTTAGGGTCCAGGGTTCAAGGTTTAGGGTTCGGGCTTTTGCTCGGGGCCCTGGGGCAGGGAATCTATCCAAACATCTGGTGCTCGAGGATTCAGGGCTAGGAAATCACAACCCTATGTAAACCCCAATCCTAAACCCTCAACACTCCTAAACCCTAAACCCTAAACCCTAAACCCTAAACCCTAAACCCTAAACCCTAAACCCCAATCCTAAACCCTCAGAAACTCCAGTGGATGATCTTTTTAGAACTGGCATCCCCTCCTCCCCAGGCT